TTTTCTTTGGTCTTCCTTATTCATTGTTCAGCTTTCACATACACATGAGATGATTGAAAATACCATGGCTTGGGTCAGATGCACCTTAGTCTTCATTGTCAAAGTGACACCTTTACTCAAACATGTTACTATACTTACTATTGCAGTTTTATAGCACAAAGGATACTAATGAAACATATAAGGCGAGGTCTGGAAGGGCTCCCAATGTGGAGCTTCTATGTCCCAAAAAGGGATATGCTATTTTCCCATGTGTGACAATGCCTATCACTAATGAAGCCTTTGTTGGGGCCTCATTATGTAGATATGATTGATTAAGTCATATTTCCTTCCTCCTCCCAAGATTGGCTGATATCACAAAAACCACAGTGGGTCTTTCTAGCCCAGGCAGTGCCCCCTGCCCCATTACTTTCTTAGCATAAATCCTATCAAGTGTGGTCTGGAGGCTTCATCAAAGACATTTCAATCACTGGGATAATTCAAGGTTTTAGAGGTTATCTCTCAGGAATCTGGGACAAAGACCAAATTCTTTGGGTAAAGTGTCATTTCTTACTGCACAAAAGCTTTCTGCTTTCTTAAACTGCTAATTCATAGCACCTTTGGATTCAATTCTGTACGTTCTTATTGAGCATCCCACAGACAAAGCAGTGTACTATGGGTGGGTGAGATACACAGACAAATCACCATAATCTTTGCCCTCCTCAAATTCATAGTCTGAGAAGGAAGACAAACACCTACCACAACAGCAGCCTCTGGGAGGGCTTCCTAGGGAAAGTGGGGTTTGGATTGGCTTTGACTAAACATTTTTATCAGAGGTAACTATTTGAAGGAAGACTCAGATATGGGAGAGAACAGAGGACTTAGAGGGTGTCATTAGCTCTGTGTGGCTTTTGTTAAGAGTTTAAGCAAGTCCTTCAATGTTTCATAAGATATACCTGTCTTTAAACTGCATGAATTAAGCCTTAAATTTGTCACTTTCCACTTTTGATTCTTTTCTAAGTGCTTTTATGATGTTTGAAATCCATAAAGCTTTGGTTTACTTGATGAGAATGTAAGAAACACTGACCTGAGTTTGACCTCCGGCCACAAAACAGACAGTGTTTCTATTTTGGCCTTGAGCTCATCCCGCTATAGTAGTGGACCATCATGAGCCCCAGAAAAAGCCCTGGTGGTATAACAGTTAGGTGCTCAGCTGCGAACCAAGTGGTTGGCAGTTCAAAACCTACCCCGTGGTTCCAGGGGAGAAAAACCTGGTGATCTATTCCCAGAAAGATTCCAAAACCAAAAACCAAACTCACTGCCATCGAATCGATTCCAACTCATAGCAACCCCCACTGAGTTGCTAAGGAAATGAATCTTTACAGAAGTAGATTGTCCCATCTTCCTTCCATGGAGCAGCTGGTAGGTTTTAACTGCCAACATTCTGGTTAGCAGTCAAATACCTTAGGCACTACACCACCAGAGCTCCTTACAGCCTAAAAAATCCTATGGGACAGCTTTACTCTGCCATATAGAGTCGCTATGAATTGAAAACTGACTTGATGACATCTAACAACAACAACAACAACATGAGGCCCAGAGAGTGCCAGGGATTTTGAAGAACTTGTAAACAGAGAGGAGATAAGGAAGAAAAGTCATTGGTGCCTGGGGTGGGAGTTAATGAGATCTTTCTGTGGTTTCTGTTATGGCTGAGAGATCAAGGCACTTGTTCATATTATCACTAAAATGTGTAAGCGGGGACAGGATGGCCAGACCTCTCTGGTTTTGGCTGGCCTCCCCTTTCTTGCTCTTCCTGATGTGGAAGTATTAAGTATTATTTTGGTTTATTTTTTTAATCTTGTTTGGGAATTAGGCTAAGATATGAATTATACACAATAGCACATGGCATGTTAAAGCAGAAATGAGCTCTTTAGGAATTACCCTCTCATTTATTGATGAAGAAACTGAAGTCCAGAGAGGCTGCTATGTTTTACCTGGGGTCTCACATCTACTAGGTGTCAGAAGCCAGAGGGAAGTCCAGGTCTTCATTTCGCTCTCCTTCACGTGAGCAGTGTGGTGTGTGTTTTACCAGAGAGAGCTGGAATTGTTTCTTATGGGGATTTGGAGACTGACACACAAATCAACATTCAGAAGCCTGTTCTCTCTTTTTATGAATTTCAAATATAGCATAATGACCATAGAAAATAAATCTTCAGATTCCAAACTTGACAATGTCCTTCAACTCCATTCTCTGTCTTGGGTTACGAGGACGTATTTCCATTTTATTGCAAATTGAACATAAGCAGTTTTACAACGTGGCTAGCAGTCTAGCAAGCCCACTTTCAGTTTCAAAGCTCCCCAGATTTATCTTTAATGAACTTGAGGTTGGGTGTGTATAAACGTATTTTCAACAGTGTGTTCCAACTGATTTGAATGAGCTATAGACAGTTCCCTAGTGGTCTCAAACTGTACATTTATTTATTTTCCTTGTGTTTTATTTATTTATTTTTATTTAAGAGCTTGTTTTGCATTCAAAGTCATGCGTACATTTAGTTTCATTCCTCATTCGCCATGTCCAACCTCAACCCAGCCTCCTCCCCTCCCTACCCTGCAACACTCCCCCTGTGACCCTCATATTTATGCACTCCTGTTTGTCCTGCATTTCCTCAGTTTGAATGTTGGTCCTTTGGTGTCCCATGGTTTACTGCTTTAGGGGATGCATTACCATTGAGTATGTGAGTACAGCATCCTGGGTTGAGTGGTCTGTTTGTACATCTTGCTAACCACTGGGCTGAGAGCCTGCCCCTGGGGGTAATATTTATTCCAGGTGCCGAATGTATTCCAGGGCCATAGTATTGGGGGTCTCACCAGACTCCATCTGACTAGTAGTTCTGGTCATTATTGAGTTTTTGGATTTTGTTCCACGTTTTCCCTCCCACTCTATCCAGGATCTCCAGATTTGATCCTTTCCTGAGTGGCTGGCATTGGTAGCCGGGCACCATCTGGTTCTTCTGGTCTCGAGGGCCATCGTGTCCTAGGGTTAATTGCTTCTAAATGCCCTTTTATTGTGTGTGTATGTTCTTCTTCACTTCCAATGCTGGGAGACCATTAGCTGCATCCTAGATGACTGCTTGAAAGCTTTTAAGACCCCAGTTGCTACTCATCAATGTAGGATGTGGAGCAACGCTTTTATGTATTTTGTTGTGCCAATTGAGTCTGGTGTACCCCAGTACTATGGTCCTGATGTAGTAGCTCTATTGGATCTCTCTTCCATAGTGTTGGGATGTCTGTGAGGGATTACTCTATGTCTGTCTTCTTTGTTTCTGTAAGGACTGCAGTATTTTGTATCACTGGTATCTGTACAAGATTAGCGTATACCTCTATTCACTGACCCCTGTCTGATCATCTCAGGTGTGTATGTATTTATCTGTGTAGCCTAGTGCTTGGCATTAATGGAAATATGATATTGTAGACACTTTGGTTTCAAACTGTACATTTATACAGTCTGTATTGTTTTTCCTTTTAGGACCAGATATTTATGGAAAATGTAGGTGCAGTGAAGCAGCTCTGCAAACTCACCAACAACCTTGAAGAAAGAATACAAGAATTAGAAATATGGAACAGAAAGCTGGCCAGGCTCAAGCGGCTCAGTAGTTTGAAGTCCTCGGTCAGTGAAGCCAGCTCAATCAGGTATATTCAGGATGGCCATAAAGATGTGGGGAAAGGAGAGAGGTATTTTCACAACTAGATGAACCTATAAGGTCTTTTGGATCAAGCAGCACTCATTACTTTCTCATAAGGAAGTTCTTGTTCTTCTTTTAGAATGTTTTTTGGAACACAGTTGCCTTCCATGATAATTTTCCTATTTTTTTTTTTTACTTAGCTGCTTAAAAATGAAACTAAACTTGAGGCATCTGCTTAATAGCAATTGTGATAGGAAGTGTGAAATTTTAGTAAAAGGGTGGCTTCTCCTTTAAAAAGGAGAGTTGACCATTTCTAAATTTAGAAAACTATGTTTAGTTCTCAGGGAAGAAACATTTTTTAAAAAATGATTATTTAAGAAGGTAAATGCCTGTTTCTCGGGGTTTGATTTTGAGACAAAGAGAAATGTAATGTTTAATGCATTCATTTTAAGCTTCCTAGAGGTCTTTTCCACAAAAGAAACTGTCAATTGCCTTGATGTTTTCTCTTTTTTAAATGATACCACTATAAAGCAAATGAAAGTAATACTGCTGCCTTAGTGACGGCCTAGACCTTGGTCATATAATGCCTGAAGAAGCATTTGAATTGTAATCAATTTTCCTTCTTTTTTAAAAGCAAATTTAGCAGAGCTGCTAGTGTGTCTTCTCCAAGAAGAGCCACTCCCAAAAAACCCAACAAGGTAAATGGACTTAAATTTAAAATAAACACAGATGACATTTTCTACACACACACACACCCTTTTGAGAAATTGGTCAAGAATTATTTTTCTGTTTATTTGTTGGTAAATTCCCTAGTTTATATCCTATGCATGTCAGGTGTTTAAATACTTAACTTGTTTACAGTTTCTTGGTGGCACAAAAGGTTGGAGGTTTGAACTTTGTAGAGGCACCCAGCAAAAAAGGCCTGGGGATCTATTTCTAAACAGTTAGTCACTGAAAACCCTGTGGAGCACGTTCTACTCTGAGACACATGGGGTCTCTATGAGTCAGTGAAAATAAGTATGGAACACATCCATTTCAGAAATACTATCCTCCCGGTTTTTGTAACTGTTGTCCTCATCAGGTAAGATCCATCAGCTTTTGATGCCTGTGTGGCACTGGGCCACAAGATCTGTGTATATGCCTTGACTCCACTGAATCCCTTATCTTTGGCTTCAGAAGACCCCAGGGGGACTTAAGTTAATCCTCAAATCCTTCTTTCCCTTTAATATTTAGTACTGTATATGCAAATCAAGAATAGTCACTTTCTTGCAAAGGTTAAAGTGTGATCATTTCATTAATGAATGAAGATAATTCTATTTTTTTGGAGCATAAATAAAGAATAGCTGTGAATTGGCCAAATCATCAATTAAGATAATACTTGCAGCACAAATGTGAAGGTTAATCATTTCTTTACTTAAAGGAGACCCGCAGAGAAGTGTCAGTCAGTGAAGACGGGGATTTAGGTGAGGCTGCAATACTTCTTTCCTAGCTGCAATACACAGGTACCTGTGAAATGCCACTTACTATCTCTGACCCACCAGTATTCTAGCAAGGAGGCCCTCTCAGGTGAAGATAATCATGATTTTAATTGATACCCTGTTAATGGCTGACCAATATTTGGGTAAATGCCTTGGTTTGCTCTGTTTCAGAAAGAGTTAAAAATTCTTCTATACTGAAAACTGGTAAAGTGCTGCTGACAGGCTTCTCAGTATACCAATAAACATGAATACACTTGGACAAGATACTTAATTGCACTGAAAAAATGAAGATAATGATGTTACCTACCTTACAAAGATTGTTGATAGGATTAAAGGAGCTAAAGCTCCTAGCACAGTGCTTGACAAGCGGCAGGGTGCTCAGTAAACACAAAAGATCAAAAATCCTGTGCAGGGAAGGTGCCCTTTGTACTAAGAAGCCCCCAGTGGGACTGAGGAAATGGAATCTACATCAATGAAAAGCTCTGATTCGTACTTTAAGGCCACCTGCAACCTCTGTAAACCAAAACCAAACTCACTTTCAAAGAATCAATTCTGGCTCATAGCAATGCCCATTGGGTTTCCAAGACTGTAAATCTTTACCAAAGCAGACTGACTTACCTTTTGTCCATGGAGCAGCTGGTGGGTTCGAACCACTGAATTTTTGGTTTGCAGCTAAATGCCTTAACCACTACACCACCAGAACTCCTTTGCAACATCTGGAGCTGCACCCAAAGATTCTATTTTGCAGTTATTTGGAATCTTAACTAGAATGAGAGCAGGTATGGGGTCTGCTTTCCCCACTTTGTATTCCCAGGGACTAGCACAGAGTAGGTACTCAAGAATTATTTGTAAAATAGAATTGAACCCACACTTGTGGCTTCCAGCCAAACAAAAAGACAAGGCATATGAGTTGAACATTTACCTGAGGTAGATACGCTCCTTGGAGAGAACAATCATGGGAGAAAGAAGGGCTGTTTGTGCACAGGGAGACAGCTCAAGGGGCAGGAGTGCATGGAGAGATGGACACAGGGAAGAGGTGACTATGGGGAGGAAGTGGGAGGGGAGCTGTTGCATTGGGGTAAATTGTAGTAAATGTCATGAGACAAAGTATATGTGAACTGCTGTATGGAAAGCGGATTTGCTCTGTAAATTTTCACCCAAATCATAATAAAAAATAAAAATAAATAAATGTTGAAGGAATTTAATAAGGAAAAAAGAGAAGTATTTGTAAAATAAATACATGACTGGAGAGTGCAGACTGAAAATATTCCTGAGGTTCACAGATTAAATTAAAAACACTAATTGACTCAGTGTTCTGAGCATGTGGTGGGTGGGGTGGGAGACTGAGGTGTGGACACAGAGTTGAGGATTTATATGGGTATAAAAGACATTCAACTCGAGATCTCTTATAATCACTAGACTGGAGCTGTTGGAGGCAGAAAAAGACGAGTAAGATGTGATACCTTTCTGGAAGGAATTACAAGTTAGCCAGGGCAAAAACCCAAAACCAAACTCACTGCCATCAAGTTGGGTCCAACTAACAGCAACCCCTTTTTGGTTTCTGAGGAGGTAAATCTTTATGGAAGTAAAGTTTTCCTTCTGCAGAGTGGCTGGTGGGTTTGAACCACCAACTTTCTGGTTAGCGGTCAAATGCCTCAGGCACTATGCCAGTAGAGCTCCTTAGCCAGGGCAAAGCAGAAGGAAATAACAAGTTGTATGAAACTAGATGTGATTAAAGCTGCAGCGGTTCTGAGTGCTGCAGGAGTATTAGTGGAGTCATGGGAGATTTGGGAGAGGTTTCAGACAGAAGAAGCACAGGTTTGGAAGCTGGATCTGGCTTCACTGAAGGATTGGGTTGGAGCTGGGTGAGCATGGATAGTGATAGTAGAAGAAAAAGCTGAGAATATAGGTTGGGTTCTTATTCTTCTGAACCATCAAGTTATGGAGTTCATTTGGTAAGCCATGAAGACATCCTGATAAATCATAGTAACATATAAATTGTATTATGCTGTTTCCTTTTTTTTTTTTTTTTGTAGATAGGAGCAGCATGACATTATATGTTAAGAACATTGTCTCTGGAGCAAATTGTTTTGGTTCAGATCCTGGCTCTGTGACTTAATACTATATGATCTTGGGTGAGGAACTTAGCCTCTCTGTGCCTCATGGTAATAGTACTTGTTTTGTAGGGTTGTTGAGGATTACTGGGGGATTAAGTTCATTGATATATATATATATATAAAAGTTCATGAATATATATATATATAAAACACTCAGAAGAGTATATGGTACATGAATGCTGTATACCAAACCAAAAACCCAAATGCATTGCCATTGAATCGATTTTTGACTCAGTGACCCTATGTTGTTGTTGTTATGTGCCACCGAGTTGGACCCAACTCATAGTGACCCCTCCTTGGGTTTCCGAGGCGGTATCGCTATGGAAGTAGATTGCCCAACCTGCCTTCCGAGGATTAGCAGTCAAGTGCCTTAGAGTAAAACTTGCCCTGTAGGGTTTCTAAGAACAGATTGCCACATCTTTCTCCAGTGGAGCATCTGGTGGGTTCTAGCTGCTGACCTTTCAGTTGGAGCTGAGCACTTAATGACTTGCACCACCAGGTCTTCTCAAGTACTGTATAAATTACTAATATTTTCAATCCCACCATTCCAGTGGTTCTCATACTCATATTAGAATATTCCAGAGAGTTTGATAAAGTACAAGCAATGGGGTATTTGCTTCCATTGTGCTGCCTACATAAGGGTCTCAGTTATTTCCTTGAGGCTGACTTTTCTTTACATGCCACTACCAACCCTCTAGGTCTTCTCTGTTGTTAGGAGGTTCCAAGATTGTTTGGCGGGTGTGTGTTGGGGGGAGTGCTGTTGAGAGTTAGTGGCTCCTTACCAGATGGTAAGAAGGATGGTAGGCTGTGGAGAGTTAGTGCTCCTTACCAGATGGTAAGAAGGAATGACTTGGCCCTGCCTCAACTTCCACAGCACCCAACAGGACTAGATGATGCTTGTAAAGGAACATTGAGGTCTCTGGATCTACCTCTCATCCAATCCATGGTTCCTCTTTCTTTCCTCCCTCTCTCCACCTCCAAGAAATAGGTGGGTGATTCTTGCTATATGTAGGTGTTGGGTTGAGGTGCGAAGGCCCTCACAGTTCAAGTAAGATTTTACTGAATATGTGGAGAAGGGGAGAAAAGGGGAAAAAATGTATGCTGATAAATATTTTTCATTATCTACCACTTCCAGTTTCCCAGCTTCCACCCCATCCCACTCCAGAATTTTGAGGGCATTTAGGTTTTTAATAAAACAAAATTACCCCTTAGTAATTTTCATGCACATCTGAATTTGAGAACCATTATACTGTTAATTGGATACACCCAATACCTCTGAATAGCAGGCAGGTATTATTTTACTATTCCTATTTTATTCAGGAGGAAAATGAGGATCAACAATGTTTCAGTGACCTGTTCAGGACTCAGCACCTAGTGTGGCTCTGGGTCTTAGGGCATTTTCCTATTCTAGGTCAAAGGATTTTGAGAAAAAGTATGGAAATTTAAAATCATCTGGCAGCTATAGGGGGTTGGCTAGAAGGAGAAATGCTTCTCCTGAGACTAATATGATTTAATTCCAATCAATTCAACAGATTTTATTGAGTTCCGTTTCTGTGCAGCACACTATTTAGACTTCTTCAGAACGGTTCTATGAGATGTAGAAGTGGTAAGAACTATTAACTTTCTTGGTATTGAGTGGCTTCCAGCTGTAATTATGGATGACTCCATTGCAATAGCCATAAGGGTCTGAAAAAAAAAAAAAACCACCTCACTACAGTCGAGTCGATTTCAACTCATAGCAACCCCTCCTTGGGTTTCCAAGGCAGTACCACTATGGAAATAGATTGCCCAACCTTCTCTCTGAGGAGTGGCTGGTGGGTTTGAACCGCCAGCCTTCTGGTTAGCAGTCAGATCCCTTAGGCACCACACTATCAGAGCTCCCATAAGGGTCTGAGCACTGGATGAAAAGTGTGTGGTCAATTTTCCCCACAACATTTCATTGAAAAATCATTTCTTTAGTCAGATATCCAGCCCAAGAAATTCAGCCAAAGATTAATTTAAAGCTATTTCTTAACTACCATCCTCCCCCAATAACCTGACCAAAAGCATAGTTCTAGCCTGTACCCCAAAGAGAAGCAAACATCCTACTCACTAGTACGTTAGAAGGGAGACTCGTAGATAAGGAACACCCGCTGTGACTACTTTCACGGCTCACCTTATTTAAGTGTCCAGGAAACCTCTGCCCATATCTTCAGCTGGGTTCCCTACCAATTCCACACTATCTACTATGTAGCTCTTGGACCATACCCCATATGCAAATTTCCATGCCAGTTTGTATCAGTCTTATGGATCTGCCTTATGTACTTCATAGAGACTGTAACTTACTTATTTCTACATCCTCTATAACATTGTGTGTAGTAAAAACCAAGCCAAACTCACTGCCGTCGAGTCGATTCGACTCGTAGTGACCCCTCCCTTGGGTTTCCGAGGTGGTATCACTACGGAAGTAGGTTGCCCAACCTTCCTTCTGAGGAGTGGCAGGTGGGTTTGAACCAGCAGTCAAATGCCTTAGGCACTACCCCATCAGAGCTCCCAGCACATAGGAGTAAGCAATAAATATTTGTTGACTGGATATAAGAATAAATGAGACACAGGCCCAGAGCCGTCGTTATAAATAGGTGGTAGAATTAGATATCGATGTTTATGATTTAACGAGTGCTTAGTAGCATTTCATGCCACAGATATCTTTCCCACGGTTGTCATGATGCCTGAAATTCTTCCACTGGAATTTATTCTTCATGTCTTAAACACCTTTTGATTTTCAAAAGTATCCTTTTAAAAGAGATGAACACCTGGGTTCTGACAGCATCAGGTCTAGTAGGATGATAAACTCATAAACTCCAAGAACCAATGCCAAATAAATGGCATAGACAATTTGTCCTGTAGGATTTTAGAGAAAAGAGAGAATTCTGTAGCCATGAGTATCAAGTAAAGGAAGGCACATGAGGTAGGCTTTGAAAGAAAGTCGTTTTCAGAGAAGCAGAGAGGAGGAGGAAGGTGTACTTTGAGGAGCGCACACCCACTGTCCCAGGGGAGCAGAAAAGATCATTGCAGGAGCCGTTCTTCAGGCTTCCTTCCTGGTAGTCTCTGATTTATCACTGCTCATTACTGAATCTTTTTATAGGTTTATTTTTCAGGAAAAAAACAGTCGTGTCCTAACTGGGTTTTCCAGACGTTGGTTATAACTCTAATTGCTGTGATGGCATTTTGGTAAGAAAAACTTCAGTGTTATTCTATGTCAAGTTCTTTATTCTTCCTAGGTTTTCTTTTCTCACCTATGAACTGGGGCATGACCTTCTACTCACTCAGAAGAGAAGAAGCCCTTTAAACCAGGGACTGACCTTTTCTATTTAGCTTAGAGATGAAAGAGCCTTTTTGAACTCAGTTTGAAGGAACAAGCACAGACTTTCTGCACTTCAATGTGGAATGAAGGGTGCCTCTTAAACATGAAGGATTTTTTTTTTTTTTTCCTAATCAATTGATGTCTCTTTAGTAGTTCACTGTACCTTTCACTTTTGTGTGTGTATATGTGTGTGTTCTTAGTCTTGGAAATAACGTTCTCAAATTCCCTTTTCTCTTTCCTGTCTTCTTGTGGAAATGGAGTAAGTAGGCAATCCGCTCTGCCCCATTTATTAAGATTCTTTCGGATTTCTCAGTGAAGATCTTTCACCATTGGTGGTATGAGATTATCCTAAAATGTACAGTAAGATAAAATTGAAATAAAATTTACTAAGTAATTAAATTGAGACAATATAGAATTTGCTATGTAAGCATGAGGTGACTTTTGTCCAGCTATCCCTTCTCTCCTGGAGGGAGGGATTAATCTCTTGCTTGGATTTTGGGGACCTTTCTCTGGTGTCTGGTCTTCAGGCTTCTGCTGCTGCTGGAATGGCTCCTCTGCCTCAGGGCTCTGATCAACCAGTGCTCCTTTGGGCCTCTATTCTTGCCTGTGCCCTCCAGATCTTTGAATGTTTCTTTCTTGTTTTTAGTCTGACTGTTCACATGGTGAAAGGAGTACTTATCCCTCAAAAAATGCTTTGTTGGTGTGGGAAAGAACTGGCTTCTGAGCCTTGTCTCAGGGAGATAAACATTTTCAGAGGCAAAGCCAGCTAGTTGCCCAAGGTGCTTCTGGCTCCTTGATCTAAAGCAGCTCCTAGTACAGGAGGCAGAGGAGGTCTCTCTGTGCTCTTCTCCTCTTTAGTACTCTCACCTTCAACTTGTTACTGCCTGCTGTTGCCCAAGTATTTTACACCACTACACAGAATTCTCATAGAAGCCTGATACTTTTCTCACTCTAAGTGTGCTTATCCCTTCCTACTAGGTCTCTCAACACAGGAGAATATGAGTGCGTACCTTTAGCAGACATTTAGCATTCTCTAGAGACACAGGTCCAGGAAAACCGAATGGAAAAGCCAATACTACTGTTGAATGGGCTTACTAGATCTTACGAATTCTAAAGTTGTTGACTGTCCAGTAACATAAATGGAGGTGTTAGGTTTATCATCTTGTTTTTGGCCTGTGGTGTACCCTAAAAGGGTCAAAACCAGAGAACTTTCCCTCAGAGAAGAGAGCAGATATCTATGTCATTCTATGGCCCGGGAAGTTCCCTGAGTTACATATTAAGGTAGATGACAGAGACAAATCAGAAAGGCTAGTAAAGGATTACTTATAGGGATGGGGTGGAGAGTGGAGGCACCTAGAGAACAAACTAAGGGAAATGATCTATAGCAAGCAGGTACCAGGATGACACTGCAAATTGCATCTGATGACATCTTTGGTGCTCAGCGCCACTTTTCCCGGATGACGTTGTGCCTGCTGGGCAGTAACAAGTTGCTGCTGAGAACACTCTGGGAAGTCTTTCTTTACGAATGAAATTCAAAGGCACAACACATTTCTTTGTGTGACAATGGTTCTGCTCTCCTATTTGGGGTGGCAAAATGTTTAAAAGCACAAATTGGCAACCACCTATAATGTTGTGTTCACTGCCCAGGTATGAATAGTGGTAAATCCGTCACCTTTAATGGGGAACTAAACCATGAGGAACCAAGGTTGAAGTCAAGTTGGTGAGAAGTCAAGATAGGTAACAAACACTGTTTCAAGTACAGCGCAAAGTGTGACTGTAAAGTCGCCAGGCAGACTTTCTTATGTGACTTGTAAGAGAGTTCTAAAGGCATGCCCAAAGGAGAAGAACCCTAAGTGACTGGACCGGTGAGAGCTTCCATTTGGACATACACATTCTGATAATGGGGGTCGGGTGGGATAGATACTCATTTTAAAGTCATGTATTGTGGAAATGAATGCTTTATTGCATTTCTTTCCTTCCACTGCCCAATTTGTTGCATTGTGCTCTGAAAATACAGGCAGCAGGAAGATGTCAGAAAAGCAGCCAAAGGGCTTATAATTGGCAGCCAACTAATCCTGTGCTGCCTTTCATCTCCAAATGTGACTGTACAGACAACCTCCATCAGTGGGATGTGAACTTTGCCCTGACATTTTCCTGCAAGGAGCAGAGGGCTGCCTCCAGCTATCCACATGCTTCCCCTTGTAATCTTCCACTAGTAATGGGCACTTCTGAGACAGCTTGTGGGGGCCAGGGGTCTGCTCTGTGGAAAAATCCACCAGCCCAGAGTACCCATGAGCCTCTGAGCTCCAGGAAGCTGAGGGCTTTCTCTCACTAAGGCAGAAAGCATAACTGTGCTGGTTTCCATGGTGCTTCTATCAGCCATGACGTCCCCTCCTCTCCTCTTCCATCTGGGTGGCCTGCTAAAATGCAACCTTGGCCAGCTGCATGTGTGAGATATGTCTGAAGTCAAATCTGCCACATAATGCCTCTTTTTCCTTTTTTTTTTTTAAACAGTGCTTTGACAATAGTCTCCCTTTACATACTTAGCTTGAAAGATCAAGATCGACGTGCCCCAAATGTCCTGCCAAGGTGAGAGTTCAGGTCTTGTTTTCCTTTGTGGGAAAGGATTTTTGAAGGCCTTCTTCATTAATCATTTGTTCTCTTCCTCCAGCAATATCACCAGTTCTCAGGAGCCAGCTCTGCCACCCACAACCTCCCCCTCAGGTAAGGTCTTCCCATTCCTCACCCTCAAACTCAGCCTTGTTTCATGTGACTTGTCCACAGGAGAAACCAGCCTTTCTGGTTAACCTTGTTGCTTCCCTCCCTTCTGCTGAATGCCTTACAGCACCTGATATGTCCCTGGCAACCACACAGCCCTCCCTCCAAGTACCAGAAATCACTTTTTGTGAGATGTTACCATGTGAAGAGACTTACTGCTGCCCCATCTGGGGAATCAGAAGAGTCTTTTCAAGTCCTGTGCAAAGACAATCCGAGGAGAAGAAGGAACTCTATCAGAGGCCATGGGCAGGTAAAGGATGTTCACAGACAAAACAACTAGGGATTTTTCCACACCAGTGTTTACTGGATAGTCTCTTAATGATTCCAGATATTGGTTCCACTCTCCTATTTAGGGCAGCAAAATCTTGAAAAACGTGTTGTTGTTGTTGTTATGTGCCGTGGAGTTGGACCCGACTCATAGCGACCCCTCCTTGGGTTGCCGAGGTGGTATCACTGCAGAAGTAGATTGCCCAACCTTCCTTCCGAGCAGTGGCTGGTGGGTTTGAACCTCCAGACTTCTGGTTAGCAGTCAAGTGCCTTAGGCACTATGCTACCAGAGCTCCTATAATATTGAGTTGCCTGCCCAGGGTTGGGGAGCTCTGGTAGCATAGTGCCTAAGGCATTTGACTGCTAACCAGAAGGTTGGTGGTTCAAACCAACAAGCCACTCCTTGGAAAGAAGGTTGGGCAATCTACTTCTGTAATGATATCACCTCAGAAACCCGAGGAGGGATCACTATGAGTAGGATCTCATTCGACGACAGTGTGTTGCATTACATTGTTGCCCAGGGATGAAATTCTGGTTGATTCAAATGCTTGTAATTTTTGCCAAGTGAAAGGGTCTCATTTAAATATCTGTTGCCAACAAACTTCGTAATAGTAAGTAGTACAAGTATAGTAATTACATGCATGTAGATAGATTTTTTTGGCTCACTTTGAACTTAAAAAGTGATATACTCTCTGAGTTCTCTGCCTAAACCAATCAGGGTGAAATGAATGTAAGCAGCTTTGGAAACTCTAATTAATTCAGGGTAAGCTTTAAGTCAGTGTAAACACAAGTTTGCATTTCACTTTCAGAGTATCTTCTTCCTCTTCCTCCTAGGGATAACCGCCCCTCCCTCCACAGAGATTTTTTTTTTTAAGTAACAGAATTTTTTTGTTAGAAAATTAATTTTTTTGTTAGAAATGTGAACAAGGCTTAAAAGTATAATTATGTATATAAGATCAAATACAGTACATTCAATTGTATACTAATTTATTATTGTTTTCAGAAATCCCCTTTTTTATATGCACCCATATTAATGAGTGTCTAAAATAATGATGATGATGCTAATAATAACAGTAAGTGCATATTGGTATAGCTTATCTCTTAGGATGGTATGTTGTTGTTGTTGTTGTTATGTGCCGTCAAGTCGGACCTGACTCATAGCGATCCCTCCTTGGGTTTCCGAGGCAGTATCACTACGGAAGTAGGATTGCCCAACCTTCCCTCAAATCACCATGGCTTAATGTGGCAAACATTTACCTCTCCCTCACTCCATGTGTCAAAAGTGAATCAAAGAAGGCTTTTGCTTATCATGTCCATTCAGGATCTAGCTGATGGAGACTCCGTCTCAACACACATTTCCATGATCTCTCTAGCAGTGGTAAGAGAAGAAGGCAAAGAGTGTACTGGCTCTTAACGCTTCCACCTATGTGTAATCCATGTCACTTCTGTTTTCTCTTTACTGGCCAAAGCAAGTCACATTGGTCACGTCTAATTTTAAAATGAGTGGAGAAGTGTAGTCTTAACAGGTGGCAGAAGAAAAGTGAACTGGATTATTTGTGGACAGCCCAATGACTGACACACAGATTATGATCAGTAGTAGAAGTTTGGGGGCTGCCATGTCATTTCTTTTTCCTTTTGTTATTCCATATCACAGTCTTAAATAAATAACTTTAATAAGTCATCATCATTATTATCCTGTCATGATCATCACATAAAGGGGTATTATTATAGATGTGAGGCACTGTCATAATTTGTTTACATGACTAAATCATCCAATCCCTACAAGCCATACAATAGTTACTGTTCTTATTCCCATTTTTTCCAGTGAGAAAGCTGAGGCACAGAGAGTTTTTCCTACACCTAGAAGAAACAATGCTTGTACTGTTTTTCTCATGGAAGCAGGTCTTGATTGAACTGGAGAACAGATGCATCACTGTTAGGGTCAGAATAAAGGTTCAGTTTGAAGAAAAGGATTTGTTTCAGTCATCATATTCTTAATATATATATTTTAATTTTTATTGTGATTTGGGTAAAAGTTTTCAGAACAAATTCATTTTCCACACAGCAGTTCATACACATTTTGTCTCATGACATTCAGTACAATTCCCACAATGTAACAGCTCTTTTCCCAGTTCCTGCCCATATTCTTAATATTTGTAAATATGAAAAGGTCTAGCCTTCATCCCTTGCAAAAGCCTTGAGGAGGGAACTTTGAGGGTGGTAAATCTTTTTCTTGCCTTGGGAGTCCAACCTGGGGACACGTGCTGTCTTTTCCTGAAACCAATTCTCAGAAGAGACCATTCTACCTCAGAGAGATGTGTTCATAACATTGAATCCTGAATAGAAAGCAATCATAGATTGGTCCAATCTGGTCCCCTTTCGAGATGTTCCTTGACCCCTAGGCAAATGTACTCCTGTAGCCAGTAGCTCTTTACATGAAGGGAATATTAGGAAAAGCAGCCCTCATCAAAACCATGTTAAGGTCTGTAGCTCTCTTCTCTGGAACATCAAGTAATTGTTTATCTTATGCTCCTGTGAGAGGCACTGAAGTGACTCCTGAAGAAAGAAGATCTGCTCCAGGGTGCCGACTGTGTCCACCTTGACAGAACTAGTAACTTCTCCGTCTAAAAATGACATTTAACTTCTGCCTCACCAGGCTCTCTGATACACTGAGAATACAGTTCCCTCTTTCCTCTTTCAAATGGAGAAAAATGGAATGGACTTAAATGTTCTATTCACACTTACCATCAGAAAGCCTAAAAACTATTGGGGATTTAGTCATAGAATGTCCCAGAGCTGTTAGACCAATGGCACCCTAACTTCTTGCCCCTGAGAATTCATTATTAACATATGTTTTACAGTTATTTAATAGAAAATAAATAAAGGGATAATATAACTACAAATTCAGTCAAGCTTTTAATTAAATGATTTTTTTATTAACTCAACAGCAACATTTGAAAAATAGTACAATATGTGTGAAGGATGGTACTTTCCAAGTCCAAAGAGAATACCACAGATCCCTATGCAATAACCCAAGCTTCCAAAGTCCCTCGGTCAGGAGAGTGCTTCTTTATACCTACATCATACAGCTGATGAAATGGGGGCCCAGGACCTTGCTTTAAGTTCTTGCAGTGTGTTAGTAGCAAAGTTGGAATTGGAATCTGGGTCCCCTTCTTCCCTGTGCTAGATTCCTTCAGCCATCCTTCCTCCATATATTTGACCATGAGGTCAGTGTTCATGTGCTTGGGATCAACTCTAGATAATGTAGAATGTCTCTACTCTGTGATTCTAGAAAGCCCTTTCAGCCCCTAGGTTTGCTCCCAGCCATTGAGATGTCACTGTTATTGTTGTTAGGTGCTGTCCCGTCAAGTCCATTTTGACTCAAAGAGACTCTGTATAAGAAAACAAAACACTTCCTGGTCCTGCACCATCCTCACAATCATTGTCATGCTTGAGCCCATTGTTGCAGCCACTGTGTCAACCCATCTTGTTAAAGGTCTCTAGTGTGGACTATTTCTGGGCCTCTGAGGATAGTCACTTTCATTCTGTTGATCTATCTCCTCTGAGGATAGTCACTTTCATTCTGTTGATCTATCTCCTCCCTCTGTCCAAGGCACTGTATAACACCAGGGTTCCTAAATACAAAAGAGGGGAAAACCAGGCAACTATTTTAGCAGATGTTTCTGAGGCATTATAGACCAACTGAAAAATAAAGAGTAAACATAAAAAAGAAATTCAACGATTAAAAACAAAAAAAAGCCAGAAAATTTCTCAGCAGAATGCAGGGTATTATCTAATAGTTTACCAAGCGCAAAACATATTTATGAGTCTTCTCCCTGAGGAATAACACTACGAGTAAAATAAGTGAAGGGAAATCATCATTTTTATTACATGCTGAGCAGAAGTCATTATTCTTTTTTTGGGTCTAAATTGATTTTGTAAGTCTGTGCAAAGTATCTTTGGAAAAGGTTATTTTTTATCCCCCACACTGAAAAGTTTTATCCCCCAAATAAAAAGTTTGGGTAAGACTATTCAGAAAGTAGAAAGTGGATTATGGAATATTGAGATTCTACTCTAAGGAACCAACTGAGCGTGATGGATTAGATTTTAATCCATGGAACAAATAAAGATTTAAGCACACAGCAGGCTTAGGTATTAAAAAGAAACTGTATGTGGGGGAAATATCTATGGAATTCTTTAGATTATGAAAGAGTTGATGAAGATTTTTAAAAATATATATCACAAAACAAATGGGCATTGGGAATTCATGCTTACTTTATTTTGAAAACGAGAACTCTGAGGGGAGCAAATGGCCAAAAGAAAATGGTTTCCTATATAAAATAACTCAGGCATTGATTGGTGAGTCTCACTGACATCTTCTTGCATTAGTTTGGGTCAATCAAGGGAAGAGAAAGCTAAGACTCTCTATTGGAACTCGGCCATCAGCACAGTTTTGTAAGTAGTGCAACATAGATCTTTTACCATGACAGTGTATGTTTTGGTTGGATATTTTGGTAAAACTGTCTTCATCAGAAGTTTCTAATTTAGTTTATGGGATAGGGATCTTCTGCCCCCAATTGTGAAATGTACCCCCAACTTTATAATGAAATTCACTGGGAATGTACTATTAACTTTACAGTGAATATTGCTGGAAAGCATCATAAAATGAGAGCTACCCTTGTATGACTGTAGGAGAATTTACGGTTTTCCAGTACCCAGCCTTTTAGAGTTGAATAATCTTGCTTCAGAGCAGAGACAAATTGGGGGATGCTGTATATGAGGCGATCTACTTCCATTAAGATTTACAGCTTTGGAAACCCAATGGGGGTCGCTACAAGTCAGAATCGAGGCGATGGCAGTGGGTTTGGTTTTGTAGGAGATTTAAAAATTGTTAGTTCAAAACCTGATTTTGAAAAGCCATTTTTATATTTCTAATCTTTAAGATTAATTATATCTCCTCAAATTCACCTTTTTATTGCTGTTGCAAAACACACACACAAACATACTTTATCCCATCAGACACTCAATTCTATTTATAGAGTTCTATGGCTCCTGGAACCTGAAAACATGGTTCTATGGAAGTGAGGTAAATCTGTACTTGTTTTGCTAGAATTTAAAATGAGCCCTTTTCCTGCAAATTCAGCAGGAAAGTGGAGCCAAAGGTGGGGGAAGAAAAGAGGACAGAGAACCTCTGGTTTCCCTTCTCTTAATCTCTCCTTTGCCCTGCAAATTTACAGCCTTATGTGGAAGCTATTATAAGCAAAACTAATAGCAAGAGACATGGTGCCTGAAAAGTATTAGTGGAATAGCTGGAATTCAAGAAATCTAGGGGTGTTGAAGGCAGCACATCTATTTATGTCAAAGGAAAGAAATATGCAATTTTCTAGAAAATCCTCACTTATCAAGATCCCAGTCTCCTGAATGGAAAGAATCACGTTAAGCAGGATGCAAAGAAAACTTCCCTGCTTCAAATTTGGTATCACTTCTATTTGCTAGGAACTCTGGTGGCATAGTGCCTAAGGCATTTGACTGCTAACCAGAAGGCTGGTGGTTCAGACCCACCAGCCAATTGTTGGAAGGAAGATTGGGCAATCTATTTCCATGGAGATACTGCCTCAGAAACCCAAGGAGGGGTTGCTATGAGTTGGATCCAGCTTGCTGGCAGTGAATTTGTTTTTTTGTTAGTTTTTCTATTTGCTAATAAGGCGAAAGAGCCCAGCTCTCCACCCTGCCATCTCCATTCCCATTATCCTTCTGAACACACTCAGAATTTTCGCTTTGAATATGTAAGAGGAAACATTTTTCTAGAAGTTATGTGATTACCCTTCCTTCCTCTTGCACCGCTTCTCTTCCTTCCATAAATATTTATTGAACACCTGCAGTGAGCCAGGCACTGGATTATCTGGGAACACAACAGTGAACACGAAGTCTTACTCAAGGAACTCAGTCAGCTGAGCAGATTGTAAACAAGCCCTTCCACCTGAGTGTGAGAAGTATTAACTAGGACAGAGATACTGAGGAGTGATTGTCCCCAAGAAATGTGCAGTGTTGCTTTTGCTTTGTATGCTGAAATTCAACACAGAAATTTGAACATAGATCTAAAGCTGAAAATTAAAAAAAAAAGACTGCAAAAATCTTTTAAATTCTTCTATTAGGTTTGTTTAGCAGCCCATTAAATGATTGCTGTGACTATCCACTTAAAAGAGTACATATACATACATTCCAAAAAACCAAACTCACTGCCATCGAGTCAATTGGACTCATAATGACCCCCTTTTGGGTTTCCAAGATGGTATCTCTATGGAAGTAGATTGCCCAATCTTCCTTCCAAGGAGTGTCTGGTGGGTTTGAACCACCAGGCTTCTGGTTAACAGTCAAATGCCTTAGGCTACACCACCAGAGCTCCCATATACCATTCAAATGAGTGAGTGTTATCAAGGCTGTTAAAAATAATAACAAAATATATATGTATGTTTGTGTGTGTGTGTATGTGTGTGTGTGTATAGCCTTGACAACACACTCATTTGAATGGTTATATCCCCATCCCTCACCATCTTCCACCTCACCAACTTGCTCAGGCCCCACCCCAGTGAATTGATCCCTTTCTTCAGCTGGCTGTGGGCTGAGGCCTCACCTTAGGCATTGAGCTCATTTTTTTCAATATGGGGATCACATTTCATACATTTCCAGGAAAGCAAAAGTGTGGACTCTGGAATCAGATTGTTTGGAATGGAATTCTTCTATTCCTTACCCACATGATGATCCCTCAGTTTCTCAGTTTGCTTATCTGTGAAGTAAGAATGATCTCTCTTATTGGACTAGGGAAAGGCACTCAGAATAAACCAAACAAAACCCATTCCACTGAGTTGATTCTGACTCACAGCGACCCTATAGAACAGAGTAAAGCTGCCTCATAGGTTTTCTAAGGCTGTAATCTTTATGGGAGCAGATCACCAAGTCTTTCTCCTGTGGAGGGGCTGCTAGGTTTGAACTGCTGACCTTTCAGTTGGCAGCTGAGTGCTTTAACCACTTCATTACCAAGGCCCTCAGAATAAGCTCAACTCACTGCCATTAGTCAATTTTGACTCACAGCGACCCCTCCTTGGGTTTCCGAGGCAGTATCTCTACGGAAGTAGATTGCCCATCTTCCTTCCAAGGAGTGGCTGGTGGGTTTGAACCACCAGCCTTCTGCTTAGCAGTCAAATGCCTTAGATACTGTGCCACCAGAGCTCCTGGCCCTCAGAATAGTGTTTAATAAATAGTAGGTGATCATTGAATGGTAGTTAAAATTATCTTTGTTATCCTTCAATGACAGAATGCATAGATTACATAAAATTTTCTCCAAAATTTCATATTCAGTTTATTAAATAATTAGGAAGGCAATTATGCTCAATATATTTTATAAGTTCTGCTTGTCTCCAGAGACCTCAAGCTCTGGGTTATGAAAAAGGTTATTATTTCCCTATTTCACCACAGAGATAGTCTTGCTCTTATTTTTCTTAGTTTTACCCACGTTCTCAACTGTTCTTGAACCAAATTCTCTATTTTAACTGAGTAAAAGTAGGCAGAGTTGGGGAACCAACAGGGATGAATATACACTCAATGCTAAGGAGTATTTGGTGGGACTTTGACTCACTTCTAAAGAAATTATTAAAATAGACATTTCTGTCTCCTTGCTTTTCCCTTAGATCTCCAGGAGTAGATCAGAAATCAGATTCCAGGCTGCATGTTATAGTTTCTTTTTCCTTCCTGCTTTCTAAATGCAATATTTTAAATTATCTTTGCTTTCACTTAGTAAAAGAAATATGGTTGATAAGTATCTCCCTGCCCCTTGACAACTTCATACGGGTAAAGTTTAGCTGGGCAGGGAAGTTGCCTTTAGGGCCTATTTTACTATCTCTAGAGGTAGAACTGGAACAACAGGGATCAACAAGAAGGTGAAAGCTGGATCAATAAAAGGAAAAGTTGGTGTTCAGAGCTGCCCAGCAGCTGGATGGGTTGCCTTAGGAGTTAGTGAGTCCCCCATCAGGGATTCCTTGATGTCTTAGTTCCAACCCCTCCCCCCATTTCCATGTATAATCTTAAGATAGTGACACCAAGGTACCTAGAAAAGAAACCAGATAGTTTTGATTAGAGATTTCTTTTCCAAATAATTTGGGTTAACAGCTCTTCTCATTCACAAACTAGATAAGAAATGAAACCATTACTAATCAAAGTAAAAGGGTTTCCATAATATGAATAAGACGTTATGCCAGGAGCTATATAGGATTTAAAGAAGGTTAATAGAGGGTTCCTACTCTGGAGTTGTCAAGAAAGGGCAAAATATATGAACAGTGAAATAATGACACTGAGATAACATGCACATCAAGTAGTGACAAGTGATCCCTGATTGATCATCACATAGATGGTTTCAGTAGCAAATGCTGTAGAGTTAGGGAGCAGGAAGCTGTGAGCTACAGCAGTGAAAACTGGGACGCTTCTGGGAGAAATGTGAGAATAATCTACATCTGTAGGGTGGGGGTAGGGATAGAGTAGGTCCAAATATGGGAGAGAGAAAGAGGGAGGCAACATTTCCCTCACAGGGACAAACTAGGGTACCACACTGGGCTTCTTTTCATCCTGAATAAGCTTTAAAGACTAACAGACTTTTTTCCTCCTCAGAAGAAAGAAGGAAAACATTCCTGGCAAGAAAGGCGCTAACCAGCCCTGACTGGGGGAGTGATTGTAAGTTTATGTTGAAGTGCCTCTATTCTTGGGCCTAGTGTGCAGGGCCAGGCAGAATAATGAGTATAAAGCCATTACTGGAGTGCAGATGAGGACAGAGGCTGCACACACATGCACAACACACATGCACACAAGCACTGCGCCAATGGCTTATGTTTTATAATTGATAGCAGCCCGATATGAGGCATAAGAAATCGCCACTCACTACCAGACAGGTTGCAGTTGATTCTGTGGTTTTTCTTCATTTATTTTGAGCCTTCTGCACTCATCTCCTGTTCTATGTTTTTAGTGTGTTTTTTGCTTTCTGATTTTTGAAAGATTTCTATGTCCATATTGCATTTCACATTAATCAAACAAAAACCAAACTCACAGCTGTTGAGTCGGATGTGACTCGTAGCGACCCCTCCTTGGGTTTCCGAGGTGGTATGACTACCATTACGTTGGGAAGAAGGTCGCCCAATCTTCATACCCTTCATTTTTAATAAATTTCAATTTAGTAGGACTTTCATGGTCCAGAAATTCTTTTGGATGTTATAGGGTTGTTTCTTGGGTTTGTTATTAGTTTTCCTAAAGGAGTTCTGGTAGCTTAGTGCCTAAGGCACTTGACTGCTAACCAGAAGGCTGGCGGTTCAAACCCACCAGCCGCTCCTCGGAAGGAAGATGAGGCAATCTACTTCGGAAACCCAAGGAGGGGTCGCTATGAGTCAGGTTCTCCTCAACAGCACATAAAAACAACAACAACAACAACAAAGCTTTCTGTAACAGAGACAGCTTCTCCTTTTTCCAGTTTGAATGCAAATGGAATCCATTTATCTGGGAAACTCATATTTCACATTCTGTGGTTTGGGAACTGTGAAGAACCACAATCACCTTTCTCCCCCATGTAAGAGTTTACTTCCTTTTCTTTTTTTCTTCTCAATTCAGGGATTGATACGACCATCAGTTCTATTCAGATTATGGAAATCCAGCAAAGGCTAGATCATCGGTATTGTAGTAGAAGGCTCCAGTGCGGGTGGGTAAGCCTCCCATTCTGCCCCAGGTCTTTCCAGAATTTATCCAGGACTGTGGGTTTTTATTGCTTTACTATATATACACCTGCCCCTTACATATTGACTTGCTCGTTATCTGACATTTTGCATTTGCAACAATAGTGAAAAAAATCTGCTATCCAACTATTTTGCACATTAATGAAGTATGTCAGGCAGTAATAAATGCCAGGGTGTGAGACAAATGTAACACTGGCTGTGATGGTTAAGGTTATGTGTTAACTTGGCTGAGCCGTGATTTTCAGTGGTTTGGTAGTTATGTAATGATGTGATTTGGCAGTTATGTAATGATATGATCTGCCAGTTATGTGATCTGGTGTGGTCATCCTTTTTTTTTATATTTATCACACTGATTTTCATATAACAACCTGGTCTTTGGAACCAAACCATGTTGATAAGTGAGAAGTGGGTGTATGTGTGTGTATACACAAGCACACATGCATACATACACATACAGGTATGCATTGCTCCATATCCATTTGGACAATGTCCAATCACATATACATCTGTGGTCTCATAAGTTTCCTTTTTTTGTTAAAAAAAAAAAGGGAAAAGTGTTCTGCTTTTGTTTCTTATTTCCCCCTAATGGTTATAAAGACCGCAAACCCAGACTCTTGCAGCACTGGATGGGTGAAATACAGGCGGGTGAAACATAGGCATCACTCTGTCTGCCAGGCTTTGTCTGACAGGCAGGTGGCGGTGGCAGTGGCAGTGGCAGCAGTGGCAGCTGTGGGGCTGGGCTGCTCCTGCTGCTCAAGCAGGGGGAACAGTAGGTGGGGCAGGACATACTCATTCCCTCCCTGCTAGCTTCCTCTCACTTCACTCCTACTGTCACCAGTTCCTCTGGCCTCCAGCAGCAGCACCAGGGGTAGTAGTAGCAACAGCGATGACGAGGACAACTGGCAGCAGGCTCCCATAATGTTTTAATATGGTATTCACACAACGTCCTGTTTCACAGAACATATCACAGACATTAAGTGATGCGTACCTGTACATAAAAGACAACATTTGCCAATTCAACATCTTTTTCCATGTATAATTCAGTGACACCAATTACATTAATTGTGTTGTGCAACCGTCACCAGTATCTGTTGTAGCTCTAGGTTTTTGAGACTGGAAGGATGATGTTTCTGAAAGCTAAATCTATATGGTGAAATCAATGTGTACTTATATTACTTCTTAAGTGGAAACACGTTTATTACATGGTAGAAGAGGGAATAATAAAACTGTTGGTATTAGCAAATGTCAATAAATCATGGCTCCAACAATTCTACTCTGCTGGTTTATAGGTAAGTCCAAAGCAAGAGGTCTAGGGAGGAGCACTTTGGCCGCCTCTCTGAGGCTGCCTCTCTGAGGGTACACATATGTGGATAGCTTCTAATTAATTTTATAGACAGGAAAGACATTGTTAACAATGACTGGCAGGTTATGAGTGAACTGACATTTGTATAATTTAATAACAATAGATATCATTATTTTAATTGTTGAAAAAATATAGCTTGCCAATACATGCAAATATTTGGTTCTAGTAGTATTAAGAGTTCTAAATAAAACTATATATGCAAGAATCAAAACATTAGTGAGGTTGCTCTTTTATTTGAAAAATGAATAATGTCTCCCACTAGATTGTAAGCTCTATGAGAGATGGGATTTTGTTTTGTTTATTTCTGTACCTGCAGTGCCTAAGAGCACTGCCTGGCACATAATAGACATACAATAAATATTTGCTGAATTATATATATATATATATATATATATATATATATATATATATATAGTATAAAATATATATCAATATATTTATATATATTTTATATCTATCGATCTATATTTATTCAGCAAATATATATAGCTTATCTTAGCTTTTTCGGTTAGGAGAGAAAAACCTGAGTGCTGCCAAACTTGTAAGCAACATTTACCTCCAGTGTACGTTACAGCACCTGTACCCAGGTAATTATGCATCTAGAAACAGAAAGTGCAAGCAGCTTCAGTTAACACAATATGAAAGTTGTAGGCATTAAGAATGGGAGAATTTTTTGTTTTGTTTTAAAATTTGATAACTGTTTATGGAATGCCAGTAGGTTAAAGATAAGATGCTAGGCCCTGTGTTTTTGAACTGGTGTCACAAATCCTCTGGGTTATCAGATTATTTCCTTCTCAATATGATATAACTATGTTTAGGCTTCAAATTGATACATCTGAAAAAAAAAAAAAAGAAAAGAAAAGAACAAACCCATGGCCATCAAGTCGAGTCCAACTCATAGTGACCCCCATTGTGTTTCCGAGGTGGTAAATCTTTATAGAAGTAGATTTACCTGGTCTTCCTTCTGTGGAGTGGCTGGTGGGTTTGAACCACCAACCTTCTGGTTAGCAGTCAAATGCCTTAGGCACTGCACCACCAGAGCTCCTTTTTCTTGATTGGTGGATTTTTTAAAACTGATGCATAGTTCTGAGTTATAAACATAACCTGTATGATGCTACATTATTAGCTTATGTGTTTATTAACTCAATGAATTTTCACAAAATCCTTGTAAGGTTGATATTCTTTACCCCTATGTTGTAGTTAAGAACCTGAGGTTCAGTGACCTTGAAGAAATTTAAATTTGGCTGAAGTCATCTACTTAATAAATGTCTGAGATGAAACATTAATTTGTGTGGTAGAGTGACAGAATGGAGTCAGATGATTCAGGTTCAAATCCAAGGGCTTCAGCTTATTCTCCCTGTGTATAAAGGGATACTATCTGTAAGATGGGGATACTATCCACTCAGCTGGGTTGCTCTGAAGTGAGTAGGTATCTGTCAGGAGGTAGGAAATGAATTCCATCCTTCTACGCTTTTCTGTGTCAAACAAATCTCTCCTGATCCTAATCCAGACCTTAACTTTTGCTTTCCCATTTTTAACAATTTGTTTTCACATTTTTAACATTAAAGAACATCTAAAATGACTGATTCCCCCCCCCACACACACACATTTATTTTAAGTTGTTTTCTCCACATAATTTAGAGGAATGGACAGATCATAAAGAAAACTTGTATTAGATCTGATATGCCTTTTTGCTTGGAATTTTCCATTGCAATATGAACCAAAAGAATTCTTCCCTTTTCCCCAAGTATTGCTCTTAAAGAGAGGTAAATCTATGCATAAGCATTTCTGTCTTGTAATTTTTCATAACTAAATAGACACAATGGCAGTGAGTTTGGTTTTGGTTTTTTAAATAGTAATGAGGACTGTAATCATTTTAGTTGAGTCAGGTTTTGAAAGTGCATGATATTTCTTGCTAACGTTGTTGTAAAGAGAATGATTTATGACAGAAAAGTGGGTATTTATTATCTTCAATCCTCCTTTCCAGGGGGATTATTAGCTTGAGACTTTCACCTCATTTGTCTTTTGAAATCTGTATCTCCTTAAGGGAAGCTGAAGCTACTTCCTGCATGTTTAGTTTTGTGCATTTGTTCTGAGATTTGATTTTTCATCATTTTCTCTGTGTGTTCTAAAAAAAAACATAAATCTTTGTGGTATAGTTTATATTAACACCTGAAAGAAATTACTTTGTAATATTTGACAGGTAGGTCTCTGAAAAACATAAAGCTATATGATGTTAAACTTGATGTTCTCTATTTATTACTTATCATATAATTAACAGTTTACATCATATATGATGAGTGGCAAAAAGCCTTTCCTTCAAAAGCCTTTTGATTTGTTGTTGTATTTTTTCCCTAATTAGGTCTGGAAATTACAATTACAATATTCCTGTTAATAAGCACACACCCACCAATGTCAAATTCTCTCTGGAAATCAAGTAAGTGAATAGTTGTAAAAAACCAATTCAGTTGGTTCATTCATTGAATAGTAAGTCTGAATTTTCTCTACAATTGATCAGTGAGTTAGGAGGTAGAAAACTCTCAGTACATGTTAACTGATGATGCCTGAGTTGAGATGTGGGCTCTCTTCCAGGCACCTTCAGTGCAATGAGAAGGCTCTGGGCTATGCACTGAGGCCTGAGAAGGGGATAACTTTGATTCTGATGCTCACGAGCTGCAGACTTCCCTGGGTATCTTCCTTTGAGTTGGGGTGGGAGCAAGAATAACAGCTTGGTCCCTAGATGGGAGACTGTAGATTTTTGGTGAAATTGGGCCACAATGAAAAAGGAAGCCAGAGTTTGGAATTGGTCAGACCAGGATTCAAATTCTATCTCTGTCACTTGCTAGTTGTGTGATCTTGGAAAAACCATTTATTTTTCTTTTAGCTACATTTCTTCATCCATAAAATGAGTATAATGTTATACCATAAAATATAGAGTTGCTATCATAATTATTAATTGTTAATTATAGTGAAATTAATAGCTATTATTTGTTGAACGCAGACCATATGTCAGATACTACACTTTAATACTGTGTACTGGGTCATATAATCCTTACAACAACTCTCTGAGGTTGTTTCTTTTCCCCCACTAGTTTATGTTTTTTGAGATAAGAACATTTGGGTTTAGGGAGGTCAAAAAACTTGTCCCAAATCTCACAGCTAGTAAATGGTGGAGTTGGGCTTAAAATGCAACCCATCCTCTTTGGCCCTGGAATTGGATTCATTCCTCTGGCTTAATTCCCAGCCAAACAATAGACAGGCCTATGAGCTGAACAACTATACCAGGGAGATGCACTCCTTAAAAGAGTCAACCATGCAAGAACAGACATACACACATCCATGTTCATCGCAGCACTATTTACAATAGCCAAAAGATGGAAACAACCTAGGTGTCCATCAACTGAGGAATGGGTAACCAAACTATGGTACATACACACAATGGAATACTATGCAATGCTAAAGAATAACGTAGAATCTGCAAACACCGCATAACGTGGATGAATTTGGAGGACATTATGCTGAGTGACATAAGTCAGTCACAGAAGGACAAATATTGTATTAGTCCATTATTGTAAAAGTCAAGGAAAGGTTTATCTATGGAAGGAAATTTTCTTTGTTGGTTACCAGGGGTGGAAGGGTAGGGTAGGGGGGACACTGTTAGATAGGTAGAGATAAGTATCACCAAATGGGAGTGATGAACATGGTGGCATTGAGGAAGAGGAAGACATAGAGGGGTACATGGGAGGTGCAGACAACAAAGATGAACCCTTTTGCACTTACAGTACTGCATTTTCAGTGAAGGCAAACACGGGTGTACAGGTGGATAGATGGGTGGGCAGGCTGAACTATTAGGTATGTCTATGCAGCAGGGAGTGTACCCAAGACCATGTATAGGGTTGGCAGACAATGGTTCTACAAGTACATTTGTATGTTCTGTCAGAATTCCCAGTGGTATGGTAGAGCTGACAAGGGACAAGGTTGTAGTCACTTCTTGGTCACAGCCAGCTACCCAGAGGGACCGAGTAGTTGAACCTGTGGGCTTGGGACCATAGTTGCAGGGGACATCAAGCTCAATTGGCATAACATACTACACAAAACATTGTTCCACTTCCTACTTTGGCAAGTAGCGACTGGGATCTTAATAGCTTGCAAGCAGTCATGTAGATGCAACGATGGGTCTCTCCTCGTCCAGAGCAAAGAAGAATGAAGAAAACCAAAGGTTCATGGAAACAATTAGTCCTCCTGATTGATACACCATGCGATCTTCAGCCTATATGACTATGAGACTAGAAGAACTAGATGGTGCATGGCTACCACTGTCAACCACTCGGAGGGGGATCTATGGAGGAGATCCTGGATAGAGAAAGAAAACACAGGAACAAAACTCAAAATTATTTGGAGGGAAAAATAGGAGGCGGGGACGAAGTTTGCTGGTCTGATAGAGCCTGGTGGAACCATTGAAACTATGGCCTCTAGCTGCCCTTCAGGTCTGGAATTGAATCCACACCTGTGGTTTCCAGCCAAACAAAAGACAGGCATATGAGTTGAACGTTTACCCGAGGTAGATACAGTCCTTGGAGACAACAATCATGGGAGAAAGAAGGGCTGTTTGTGCACAGGGAGACAGCTCACGGGGGTAGGAGTGCATGGAGGGATGGACACAGGGAAGAAGTAACTATAGGGAGGAAGTGGGAGGGGAACTGTTGCATTGGGGTAAATTGTAGTCAGTGTCATGAGACAACCTGTGTGTGAACTGCTGTATGGAAAGTGAATTTGCTCTGTAAACTTTCACCCAAATCATACACACAAAAAAAAGAGTCAACCATGGGAGATGAGAAGGGCAGTGTGTACACAGAAGAAAGGTAGGCAGGCAGGAATGCACAGGTAAGAAGGACACAGGGAAGGGGTCACAGAGAGGAGGTGAGAGGAGAGCTATTACATTGTGGGGATTGTGATCAGTGTCATGAAACAAAATGTGTAGGAACTATTGAATGTAAAAGGAATCTGTGTTAGAAAATTGTACCCAAATCACGATAAAAAGTTATATCCAAATCCTGACTAAACTCAACCCATCCTTTTGACGATCACTCTCCTGCCTCGCAGATGAGATGGGTTATGTAAGGACTTTGTCCATTCCTGGAATATGGTAGGCATTCAAAAAATGGTAGCTATTATTAGCGCTATCTTTCTACCAAAGTCACAAAACTCTAATTTAGTTTATTCTCACCAGATATTTTAAATAATTATACTTTAAGACTTTCAATACATTGAATTTTAAAAATTATGCAATGAACCACTCAACAGGAAGGTGGTGGTTGTGTGCAGTAGTATTTATTTTGTGTCTCTTGACTTTTGTCTCTCCTTTTCTTCCCTCCATCGTTTCTTTTTTTCTTCCTTTCCTTCTCTTCCTCTTTCCCTTTCCCTTAGCCCTCAGTCTCCTTTTGCTTTCTCAGTTCTATTATTCTTCCACAATCATTTTTAACATCTCTCTCTGTCTCTTCCTCTCTTTCTCTTAGACTTCATACTTCTTCTCTCATCAACTTTGCTTCCATGAGGAGCTAATGATATTTGACCCAAATGCTTACCCTGGAGAGGTTTGTTTTGAGTAGCTAATATTTCTTGACTCAGAACCTGCCACCTTTCAAGGCAGAGCAAAAGGTAGATGTACTTTTCTTGCAAACTATATGTACTACTCTCCAGTCCTTGTTAATCTTGAATAGCATTTCCTCATTTATTCCTAGCTTTCAAGGATGGGAAATAAGGTTAAATAGTATTCTCTGGAAGTGGTAGAGGGAGATCTGGTGGCACAGTGCCTAAGGCATTTGTTTGCTAACCAGAAGGTTGGTGGTTCAAACTCACCAGCTGCTCCACAGAAAGAAGATGGGGCAATCTACTTTTGTAAAGATTTACTGCCTCAGAAACCCAATGGGAGTTGCTATGAGTCAGTATCGACTCAGTGGCAGTGAGTTTTTTTCTTTTTCTTTTCTTCTCAGAAGTGGTAGAAGACCATATTGAGCTACTGAATTAAACCTTTTAGTTTAAGAACGACTTTTCCAATATGGATGATTTAAAAATAACACACATACTCAACTGAGATTTTAGGTTGTCCCCATGTGTGCACAATGATTGTGTTTAAAGACAGATGGATCTCATCCTTTTGATGATAATCCTCCTTTCTCATAGGGCTTCCACTCTATGATAGCTTTACAGGTTGGTGATTTCTAATAAGAATCAATCCCAAATTCCTACCTGTGTTTGTCTGCCTCACTGTTTCAAATAATATCTCTCCAGACCAGGAGTTGGCAGAATCTAAATTCTTGGAAGAATTGATAGATACAAATTCAGTTGCTGGTGAAAGGAAATATATCCAAAAATTATTTTTTAAAATGTATGGCAATGAGGGGAGTTCTGGCAAGGTGGTGGAATAAACAGATAATCTACACAGACCCTCTGCAACCAAGCAATGAGAAACCAATTGAAAGTGATACAGAAGACAATCCTGGAACCCTGAGCTTTGAAGGGAAGGATAAACAGTGGATTAAACACCAACTAGTAGAAGAATCTAAAGGAAAACAGTGAGTAAGGAGGCAAACAGAGCTGCAGACCGCTGGCTGTCTTGAGGGTGCGACCATTTTGAATATTTAAGTGTGTCCCTGATAGCAACCTAAGAATCAGCTCTGCCCACCAAAGACTACATGAGCAAGGACTGTGCTGATACATGACAACTAGAAAGGAAAGCAGTGAAGAAGGAGACAAACAGAGCTGGAGGCTGCTGGCTGTCCTGAGGATACAGCCATTTTGAATATTTACAAGCAGTGTGGCCATTTTGAATATATCCAGGTGGGGTTCTGACCTGGACAGGGACCAAAGAATAGGCTCTGCTTGCTGAGGACAACACAGGCGACCACACTGGAGGCTGACGACTAGAAAGGTGTGATATTCCCCTTGTTACTCTTATATCCCTCACCTTCTTGATGGACAGAGTGTGACCAACCCTCACCTCCACTCACCTTCTTCACCAGCAGGAATTCCTTCCTGGTCTGTGCCCTGACAGAGCCTGGGTGCTGTGCTCAACCTGCCACCATTTTGTTTTTATTTGTTTTTAAATTACTTTTTATTTTCTTCCTTTTGATTAATTTATTAATTTTTTCTCTTTCCCTTCCCTGGTTCTTGTTTATTTATTTATTTTTTTCTCTTCCCTTTTCCTGGTTCCTTCTTTTTTCTTGGTTTTGGTTCTTCCTATTCCTTATTTTCCTTTTTGCAATTTTCCCATTTTTTCTTTATTATTCTTTTACCCTTACTCTTTTCTCTCTTTACCCCCACTCCCCAGATTTTGTGGAGTTTTTTTTAACACCCCCTCTTTTTCTCATTATCTTTCTTTTGTCTTTTTAAAATATATTTTAAAATTTTTCTTCTCATTTATTGCCTTTGTGTGTG